TGTGTGTGTGTGTGTGTGTGTGTGTGTTGACTTTCCTAAGGCATTCCTCCAGGGTTGGATGTTGCACTTAAGCATGGCCATGACCTTGGTCCCCATAAAGAATTGCAGGTGGAAGGTGAGACCAGGTCCCAGTACTGAGAGAGGAGATGCATCTGGCACATGACCAGCCAGCTTCACACCGAGCTGGGGGCCAGGCCCTCCTTCCTCTTCAGTCTCCAACCTAGCACTCAGCAGCCGACAGTCCAGTCCTTCTGCATACAATGACACAAGAGGACAGGCAGAAGTGGGGACATGAAATTACACAGGGCACCAGCTGACCAAGAAGAGAGCTTGAGGGACTGACTGTAGGAGGAAGAGGAAGGACTGTCATGCTGGAGAGGGAAGAGTCTTCAGTCACTTCACTTCCATCCGCACCCTCGTCAGGAATCTCTTCAGGGCTACACAGGCATTCCCTTCACACAGGCAGACAAACCAACAGACACACACAGGAGTCTCAGTGGTACCTCTGTTCCCAACATGCTCCTTCACCCACTGAGTGGCTGCCACAATACTCTCTGTCTTGGTGACATCAAGGATCACTGTCTCTAGCCTGTCTGATGTCTTGCTCCTCAGCTCCTCGGCTCCCTTCTCCGTCAGACATGCAGCCAGCACCCTCATGCCTCTCCTGTCCAGCTGTCTGGCCAGCAGGTTCCCAAAGCCCGAGTCACAGCCCGTGATGAAGACATACTTGTCTTGGAGATGGCTCACCACCTGCCTCTCACGGTACCAGCGCAGGAGGGTCCACAGGCCCACTAGAGCCACCAGGTAGAGCCACATGGCTTTGAAAAGGACAGGCACATAGAGTCTGTGCCAAAGTGAGCCTGGCCTCTATTCACAGAGGATGAAGCAGGCACTGAGGACTCGGGAGACACAGCGGAACACAGGCTTCCAGCAGGGAGTCTGCACCTTGTTCTCTGTCCACTGTCTGTGGTGATATTTATTGCTGTCTCACTTCTCTGCTCTTTCACCTGGTTGGTCATCTGATATATAATGGCCTTTGGCCTTCCCTTACCTGCTGCCAAGAAAACACCACTGTCATTCAGTAACCCACCTTCCTTCAGTTATGATCTCTGATTTTACTCATGTGGGATTGCATGCATGTTTCCTTACCCACGCCCACTACAGTCAAGTCCCAGGCTCACCTTGGGTCTCTGCATCTTGCACTCCAGTGCTCCAAACCCAGAACTTTATGAACACAGTTAGGTGCTCAACCTGTACTTGGGCTCAGGACACATTCACAAGAAAATCCTGCTCTGAGCTCAGGTTCCTCAGACATAAACTCTCCTCAAAAAACAAAGTAGTTCTCCTTGTCTCTAGAATTTCAGGGCAGCTAAAGAGAAGTCAGGACGCACTTGTGTCTTTCTGGTACAGCAGCTCCCTTGGAAGAAGGAAGGGCCAGCCACAAACAGGAAGTCTGGCCCCAAAGGAAAATAAGGTGATGGCACCTGGGACCCCAGATCCCTAAGATTCAGAGATGATGTGGGGGAGGAAATGACTGCTACCTCAAGATGCCCATCTTCTGGCTGCATGAATTCAAGCAGACATGAGCTTAGCCATCTTGAATTCTAGCCTTCATGAATGCCCCTGACTAGGTTGAGACAGGGTTTCTGGCTTAATTTCCCAGAAAGCCTTACTCACAACCTCTAGAGTAGTGTCTAGAGCTTTGTATCTGGTTCCTGGCTCTAGAGATGTGCACAGGTGACTCTCAGACGCCAGCTCAAAATAAACCAGGCATGTTCCATCAGAGAGGAAGCCATGTTTCCCTCACCCATTTCTTCCACCACTCTGTCCTGACCTGTAAGGGCTCAAACTTCTCTTACTGCAATCAAGGACCATGCTTCTGACTGCAAGTCCTCCAGCAAGATGTCTTCTGTGCACTGCTCTACCCACAGGACTTTGTTAGGCTTCACACACCAGACTCGATGGGCTCCTGAGAATATACTCTGGATGCCCACTGTAAAGCTCTCTACCCTCCTTTTCTGGGGCATCCCTGTGTGGTCACGGTCCTAGGGTTTCTATTATTGCAGTAACATAAAATGATGGAAGAAGACTTGAGCCTTCCAGGATGTTTACAGCCTGAGACTGCTGCCTTCAGACCTCCTACAGAAAATAGCCCACCCCTCCACTATGCTGTCCATAATAAACATGCTGAGGGCCCAGGATACAGGGGAAGCACCTGAGTCTCCATCAAAGCACGGGCAAGCCACTGGGTTCCAGCTTTTCTTTATGTGTGTCTGTCCTTTCTTCATTCCCTCACGGAACCTCAAATTCCCTTTGGGTTTCAGACCTAAACCAGATATCCTGTAGCAAACTGGGAGATTTAGAAGGTCATAAAGTACTTGTGTAATGAGATCCTGTCTCAAATAAACTAAATGATTAACTAAAAATATAAATAACGAGTTTAGACAGGTTTGGAGAGATGGCTGCTCTTCCAGAGGTCCTGAATTAAATTTCCAGCAACCACATTGTGGTTTACAACCATCTATAATGAGATCTTCTGCCCTCTTCTGGTCTGAAGGCAGAGCACTGCATACATAATAAATAAATCTTGAGAGAGAGAGAGAAAGAGAGAGAGAGAGAGAGAGAGAGAGAGAGAGTGTGTTTAGGCATAGGGACAGCTGGTGAGAGCATTTACTTCTCTGCTAGAGAACCCAAATTTTGTTCCCAACTCCATGGTTAGGTAACTCTAGGTAACTCACAACTGCCTTCCAGAGGACGCAATGATCTGGACTCTGTGGGTACTCCAACACACATGGAATACAGACTCACATGCAGACAGATAAATAAAAAACAAATCTTTGAAAATAAAATAAGGAAATGATGACCCTGAGATGTGGAAGATCACTTTCTATTTTCAACCATGTTGGGAATCATTGTTTAGACACAGCAGTTCCTCCTGTCACTCGATGTCCCCCATGTTCACACCGAGGGGAGAAAATCAGGCACCTATGGATGTCCCTCAATGGCAAGGTTGTACTGAGCCCAGGAACCTTCCTTCTCCTGAGGATCCATGACCTGACATTCACTACAGAAACATGTGGAGGCTTCACAGAGCTTTGGCAGGCTTCACGGACATCCAGTAGAAGATGGGATCTGTTAGGAAGTTGGGCAGGTAGCTCAGGGGAAGGTAGAAGAGCTTGGCATCCCAGCCAGCTGAGTATCGAGTGCGAGGGTGACAGGAAGTCAGGGCGTGCTCCATGCAGTCCGTCACCAAGGAGAGGTCCTCACTGCAGATCTGGTCCAATAAGTTTAGATTTGTCAGATCTATGCAGAATGAGAAAAGTTTCAGATGGTGTTTGCCTCCCATGGAGGAACCTTTTCTAGATCCTATGCCTCCCACATCAGAAGCCATGCCCAAGCTCAGCCTGTCCCAGGTCCTGAGGATGGACCACAACCCAGCTTCAAGGAAGAACCATGCACACTCACCACCTGTGTGGTAGAATATTATTTTTAAGTTGTGTGACTTTTGTTCATGCTGCATTTGTTTAATTCTGTGAAGCTGTGATTCTTTGCCTGCTTAAAACACCTGGTGGTCTAATATAGAGCCGAGTGGCCAATAGTGAGGCAGGAGCAAGGAGGGATGGGCTGACAGGCAGAGAGGATAAACAGGAGGAGAACCGAGGAAAGAGGAGAGCAGGAGGAGGACAGGAGGACACCAGGGGCCAGCCACCCAGCTACACAGCAAAACATAGAGTAAAAAGGAAAGAAAGGAACAGAACAGGAGAAGTCCAGAGGCAAAATATAGATGGGTTAATTTATGTTAAGAAACGCTGGCAAGAAGAAAGCCAACCTAAGGCCAGGCATTCATAAGTAATAAGATTCCATGTGTGATTTATTTGGGAGCTAGGTGGTGGGCCCCTCAAAAAAAGTGTCCAAGTGCCAAAAGAGTAAAAAAAAAAAAAACCAACAACACACCTGGGTCTCTGTTTAGAGATCTCTGTGGTGTAAATGGAGTTTTAATTGGTCTAAATAATAAAAACTTGGAGTCAGATATAGAGGAAAATGCTGAGAGATCAGAGTGAAGAAGGAGCAAGCCAAAGCCACTTTTACCCCATTAGCTTCCCAGCTAAGAGTTCCTTTTTCTTCCCACTTATATCCCCTCTCTACCCAGCCATCTTACTTCCTGTTCCCACCCAGCTACCTCACTTCCTGTTTCCTCCCAGCCTTCTCACTTCCTGTCTGTCTGTACTGACCTCCAGATCTCTATGGTTAGCCAGTGACAAGGTCCATCCCGATCTTCAGACAAGCTTTATTTGTACAAGCAAGATATCACCACATTCTGGTCTCTGGAACAGTGGGAATTAGCCCAAGTTCACAGAAAATCACTGCTTCCTGACACAGGCTCTACTTTCAAGTCACGTTAATAAGAGATTCAAATGAAACAATGCCTTGTGTTCTAGAAGCCAGGACCTCTTTATGTGGTAAGATGCCCACCTAGCACCAAGGAAACAGAACTTAAAAACCTCATTTTGTAGAGAAACACCTTGGGATAACTGCTGTCAACACCATCAGGAGACTCAGAATTCTAGACCCAACTTTGTTCTGATCCCCAAAACCCACTCACAGGATAACAAAAACTTCTCGCCATAGATCTCTTTGACCTCTGAGCTGGCCTGGTCCCACAGCATCTTGACACTTGGCAATAGCGTGTCATTACTGGTCACACCAGTCTTGAAGCCTCCAGGCTCTATAATAGCCACCTTCACCCCAAAATAGGAGAGCTCCCTCCTGCAAGACAGACAGACATCAATAGAGGACTTTGAGAGAAAACTCACAATAACAGTACATTCACATGCCAACATGATCCTGAGGTGAGGAGAGGTCATGAGCTTTAGATCTGGGTTGTGCGGCAGATGGGGAAGAAACCTGTGGTGAGGGCATTGCCTCTGTGTTTTTGAATCTCACACTGTTTGGCGTATGCACCTCACCGGCCTAAAGACAGGCTCTAGGTAAGACCTCTCTATACAATCGAGTATTAAGGGTCACCCTTGCCCAAGTCACCTCCTCCTCACTCTTAAGTTTGCACCTTCCCCAAACCTGTCCCAGGAAGCTCTCAGGCCAGCACCCCTATGGCTCCTGCAGGATCTTCCGAGAGCAACTCTTCGGCTGCTTCTGTAGTGCCTCACATTTATCACCACCCAGGTCCCTGCAGCCAACAGGTTAATGGTACAAATGGCTCCCCTGACTCAATCTCTTCAGATTTGCCTTGTGAAGGACATGAAGCACACTCTTGTCCGTGGCACTCGGGCTCCTGCTTGCCTGTATCATGTGACTTGACCTTTTGTCCAATAGCAGCAACCAGCAGCACATTCCATCAGTCAATGGCCACAGAGAGCCCCAGACAGACAGATTTCCCCACCAGCCTTCCTAACCAGACTACTAGGTTCCCACTTGGACCCTTGCCAGAGGACCCTAAATCAGATGACTGCTCTGGTCGCCACTGAGGACCTGGAGATGGCCACTCCAAGGACAGCCCAGTTTCTCCCTCTCCTCTTCCAATTTCTCAGCTGCCAAAGTTTGTAGGATCTGGGGGGAGAGCCTTCTTGTGATTCTAGGGTAAGTAGTCTGTAGACTATAACAAGAGTCTAGAAACTTCTATATGAGCTGAGTGAGATGCTCAGCCCACCTCAAGGACATCCTCAAGCTGAGCATCACTAAAGGTCAAGGGTCTGGACTCTTCCTACATATGTAGCTTTACCTCAAAAAATTTTCCCTTCGTTCACCCTCCTCCAGAGGAAGACAATAACTTTTTTTATGTGCAATGGTGTTTTGCCTGCATGTGTGTCTGTGTGAGGGTGTCAGATCTTGGAGTGACAGATAGTTGGTTAGCTGCCATGTGGGTGCTGAGAACTGAACCCGGGTCCTCTGGAAGATCAGTCAGTACTCTTAGCCACTGAGCCATCTCTCCAGGCCCAAGAAGGGTACTATTAATTGAATTTGACAGGATGGTGGTACACATCTTCACATCCTTCACCCTAACATTTCCTTATTCCCGCACTCAGGAAATAGATCTATATGAGTTTGAGGCCACCCTGGTCTACATAATGAATTCCAGACCAGCCAAGGTAACATAGTGAGACTGTGTTTCTAAAACAAAGAAACAAAGATGAACTGAACTCCTGTCTCAGCCCAGCCCTTACTAGAGACATGGACATGTGTTCCCAGGGAATGATCACCTACCTCAAACAAGAAAACAATGAGAGAACCCCAAAACCAGAGAGTGTCCTCTCTATGATGGCCTCCTAAAGGCCTTGATTAAATAAAAGTCCTGACAAAACTTCCCTCTGGTCCCCACATCCCTGTCCATTACCTGAGGGAGTCTGAGAAGGCCTCTACACCATACTTGGAGATGCAGTAACCACCACCAGATAAAGACACTCGACCCAAGACACTGGAGACATTGACCACACGGCCCCCAGCCTCCCTCACTGAGGGCAGCATGTTCAGAGTCACCTCGATCAGGCCCAACAGGTTCACATCCAGGACTTTTGCAAAGTCTTTCTTGTTCAGCCACTCATTGCGACCCAAGGGAATGGAGATGCCAGCATTGTTGACCAGGCCCCAGAGTCCTGGGGACAGTGGAAAGAAGAGAGAGTCACACAAGCCAGGTATAGTTATGGATGAAATGTATATTCAACAAGGTAAGACTGCTTAGACATGTGTTTAATTGAGAGTAGAATGCCATGAAGAACAGCCTGGTTTCCTCAGGGTTGGGGAACCCATCCCACAGGCCCTAGGCTCAGGGTTGGGGAACTAATCCCACTAATCCCTAGGATTAGGGATCACAGCATGGATCACTTCCTCCTTTAAATCTTCATGGCCAGCTCCTTGCCTAGGAAGTAAGAAGCAGTCCTTTCTCACTTGCTAGTTTTTTTGTTTGTTTTTGTTTTTAAGATTTGTTTATTTATTTTGTATACAGTGTTCTGCCTGCATGTGTGTGCCTGCACACCAGAAGAGGGCACCGGATCTCTTTATAGATGGTTGTGAGCCACCATGTGGTGGCTGGGAATTGAACTCAGGACCTCTGGAAGAGCAGTCAGTGCTCTTAACCTCTGAGCCATCTCTCCAGGCCTCACTTGCTAGTTTTAAGAAGGGATGTTGAAGACATGGTGTGCCTCTGCTTATCTGGAGACCAGGAAGCCCTGTCTGTGTTTTACAGACTGATGTCACACACAGGGATATTTCACATTTTCAGTTACATTTTCAGATGGTGCTGCCTTTGTCTTTCAAGTGGCAAAGACAGGAGAAAGGCAGTTAGGAGATAGCTTAGTGCATATAGAACTTGCCTCCCATGCATGACGACCTGAGTTTGAGTACCACAACCCATGTAAAAAGCTGAGAACGGTAGCATGCTTATCATCCCAGAACTGGGGAGGCCTATACAGGAGCCTACAAACCCAATAGCCTAGACAAAGCTGTGAGCCAAGGTGGGAGGTTTTTGGTGTTTTTTTTTTTTAAACAAAGCAACAAAAACCACATAAATAAAAACCACAAAAACAAGGTTGACAACAACCTCACCTGAGGGCATCATCTGGCATGTCCCGCATCAATACTGACCAGCTTCCCTGAGGTGCCTACCTGAGGCACAGGTCCACACTCTGTCCCAGAAAACAGAGCCCTCTCTTCCCACTCATCCACAGGACACGGTCACTTGTCTCTTTCAGTCACTGTTACAGATCTTCAGGCAACCACCCTGTCGGGGCTGTGCACGTCAATGGCACGTCGTCACTGTTGTCCACCGTGCCTGGTCAGCTGGGGGCTACTTGATTTAAGGCTAAGTGTTACTTGTGGGTTTTGAAGAATTAGCCCCAAAAGCCATGTGCGGCTTCAAACCCAGAGCTTGCCCTTCTGGAGGTGCAAACTGTTTAACTGAGATGTTTTAATATTAGGATCCCAACACAAGCTCAGGAAAACTGATTCCTAAGATAGTGCTTATGATCACAAATGCAGGAAACAAGTTGTAGGTGGTGGCACACACCTGCGCTCCCCATACAGGAGGGGCTGAGGCAGAAAGAGCACGTGCTTAAGGCCAGCCCAGTATCAAGATCCCAAGTACCAAAAACCCAAGCTGAAACAAGCACAGCTGCACCAGGCAACCCCAGCTTCCGATGCCAAGATGCAGCTTCATTAGTGGAGCCTTCTTAACGGCTAACGTTTTCTACTTCATTAAGTAGTATCATGCAAGCCAGGCTATGCTGGCACACGCCTTTGGTCCCAGCAATTGGGAAACAGAGGAGGGCTGATCTCTGAGTTGGAAGCCAGATTAGTCTACAGAGTGAGTTCCAGGACAGTCAAGAGACAAAGAAACCCCCTCTCAAAAACAAAATCATCAAAGAAACGTTGTTGAGAATGTTAAAAACTCCTCACCCTTTTTAAGTGAAAAGGATGTATTTAGTTAATGCATGCAGGTTAAAATGTTACTAGTTCTTGTCCACTGGGTTAATTTTTGTTGTTTTACATGCTCTAGTGAACAATCACTATGTTTTCAACTTATTCTTATATATAGAGAGAGATATAGATAGATAGATAGATAGATAGACAGATAGATCTCTCTTTATATATATATATATATATATTTTTTAACCAAGGTTCTTCTTTTGTCCAATTACAATTAACACTGCAAACTTGGTGAAAGAAGGGAAAGCCTTTCAAGTCAGTCCTTAATCTTGTCCTGGCCTGCTCTCCACAGGAACCATCTTGTCTGCCTCCAGAGAGATGGCAGGTGACAAGTAAGAGCAAGTATGGTGCTGACACAGGAGATCACTCCAGCATGGCCCCAGGTACCCTCCCTGCACACAGAGCCCAGGGACAAGTCCCACCCTCTGCTCCAGAAAGGGGCCCTGCTCTAAGGTGGTACCAGCATCCAGCAGGCTAGGTTTTCTGCACAGAAAAGATGACAGCACAGACATGAACGTGAGAAGGAGAATCCTCACCAGGACACCTTCTTACCAAGACCAGGGAGCTTAGGAGACAGCAGGAAGGGGCTGGAGAGAGAGAAAGCACTCAGGCAATGTCAGGAGAGGGCAAGAGGCTGCTGTTATTCAAGTGCCCCAAACCCCTTCAGGAATCTTGCCAGGGAGTGTGAAGGGGAGACCCTTTCAAACAGAGTCAAACCAACAGACACAGACAGGAGTCTCAGTGGTACCTCTGTTCCCAACTCGTTCCTTCATCCACTGAGTGGCTGCCACAATACTCTCTGTCTTGGTGACATCAAGGATCACTGTCTCTAGCCTGTCTGATGTCTTGCTCCTCAGCTCCTCGGCTCCCTTCTCCGTCAGACATGCAGCCAGCACCCTCATGCCTCTCCTGTCCAGCTGTCTGGCCAGCAGGTTCCCAAAGCCCGAGTCACAGCCCGTGATGAAGACATACTTGTCTTGGAGATGGCTCACCACCTGCCTCTCACGGTACCAGCGCAGGAGGGTCCACAGGCCCACTAGAGCCACCAGGTAGAGCCACATGGCTTTCAGAAGACAAGCACAGACTCTTGGGCAACAAAGTGAGCCAAGGCCGTTGAGACAGGAGAAATAGGAACACAGTAGTCTGTGGTTGGCTGGGTAACCTTCAGGCTTCTGACAAGGATGCCTAGTTTTCCTTTCTGATCACTGTTTCTCTGTAACATTCGTCTTTTGTTTTTAAATCCTGCTGCACCTCTGTTCTTCAGGTTGATTTTCTGTACTGATATACAAACGTCCTTGGGCACCTCCTACTTAGCAACCCCTCCCTAATTGGTCCACTGACTTCTGCCCTCCTGCACACATGTAAGATCCATCTATGCCAAATGACTCATGGCCCACATGAGTCAAGGTCTAGGCTCAAACTCCTTGTGTGCTACAAGGCATCATTGAACACAGGTATAATGCCACTGGGAAGGTACACTTGGACTATAGACACGTTTACAGGGAAATTCCTCTCTGAGCCCACTTTTCCTCATTGACTACAGCACTCAGCAAACTAACTCTCTGTCATTCCCTGCAGGCCAACAGGAAAAGGCCAAAGGAGGAAGCAAAACACATCAGTTCCCTTCCCAGAGTAACCTTGTCTGGGGTGGGGGAGTGTCTAGAGGGTATTGGTGAGCGTCCAGGCTTAGACGAACTGTCTCCTATTGATTGGTCAACTGGTTGTTATGGTCTATAGGCCCTCCCATGGTGGTTGCTATGCTCTGCATGCCACTTTTACCATAAAGTGCCATAAAGCACATCAGCTAACTTCTGATTGGTTCCTTGCCACGTGGGTATCTAGTGACTGGGAGGAGGGGCAAGGTCAGGCGAACATATGTTGAATCTTTTCTGCAGCCTGTCATAGCTGCTAAAGTGGGGGCTGGTCCCTTCAGTAGCTTGCACAGCCTGCTTTTCTTATACCATCCAGCACTACCTGCCCAGGCTGGTACTACCTTCAGTGAGCTGGGCCCTCCCATATCCATCATTAATCAAGAAAAAGCCCTACAGTAGCGGTTCTCAACCTCCCTAATGCTGCTACCTTTTAAGACAGTTCCTCAGGGTGTGCTGACCCCCAACCATAAAATCATTTTCGTTGCTACTTTGTAACTGTAATTTTGCTACCGTTATGAATCACAATGCAAATACCCAATATGCAGGATATTTGATATGTGAACCCCATGAAACGGTGGTCCATCCCCAAAAGTATTGAGACCCACAGGTTGAGAACATGTCCCTACAGGCAACCTGGTGGCAGCATTTCTCTCAAGTGAGATTCCCATTCCCAGATAACTTGTGTTAAGATGACAAAGAACTGAACAGGGCATAGAGAAAGCAGGAAAGAAAGATAATGGGGTCTGGGAATACCCATGAATGAAACACCCAGAGCTACTGAAAGGGAAGAGGAGAATGGCTTGTATAAGCTCTTCCCCAGCTGCGTGGACTTAGCTTGCACGACTGCAGCCACCTTGATATGTAAGAGCCATGATTGCTTCAGATGAGCACAAGCCAGCTTCTCCTGCCTAGCTTCTGCCAATGGCAAAGGGTATGTTAACAAACTCCTCTAGAAGTATGCAGAGTTTTGCCATTGGCTCCTGCATTAGGGATGTGCCCGACTCTGGTTCCAGTGTTAAGTCTCTCTCAGCAAAGACGAAGTCACTTTCGTCCCTCTTTCTGACACAAGAACTGCAAGGATCCGACTGTTCTCGGGGTTTTAAGGAGTAAGGGTTTATTTGGGCTCAGAATTTGAGGGTACGGTCCATCTCGACAACAAAAGCATGAGGTGGCTGGCCATATATTTTCCGCAGGAAGCAGAGAGAAATGAAAGCTGATGACACGCCTGCCCTCTCATTGTTTATTCAGTTCAGGGCTCCACCTACGGCATGGTGCTGCCACTCTCTAGAAATGGCCTCACCAACACACCCAGAAGTTTATTTCCCTGATGACTCTAAGCCTTGTCAGGTTAAAGATCAAGTTTAACTGTCGCAATCTCCTCCATAAATTTCACTCTTGTACTTTGAATCTGAAATGTCTCTGCCCAGGCTCTTGTTTTAAATTCTGGCTCCTCAGCTGTTGGTGCTAGTTAAGGAAGCTGAGGAATCGTTAGGAGATGAGAATGGCAAGAGAAAGACGCTCACTAGGTGTGGGCCTTTGTAGGTTATAACCCCCAACCCCTGGTTCTAAGTCCTGGCCCCTCTGCCTTGTAAATCACGGAGAACAGTTACTCTGCCATGGCTCCCCCACACCAATGGACTGAAATCTTCTGAAATTGTGAACCAAGATGACCCCTTCTTCCCTGAGGTGCTTCTACCAGGTATTCTGGTCACATTACCACAGGAGAAGCTAATACTCACTTTGAGGACTCCTTACCCTGTCTGCTTTGTTTTTTAGACTTATAACACGAGGGCACTGGTCCTCATACAGCCTTGGGTACCATCATCGTCTTTCCCCTTCCTGTTCTGGGGCCTTTCTTGCACACACACCTAGATTCCAGGCTCCTCAGACACTGTAGAAGCAGAAAAGTCTCAGCTAGACAAGGACTACAGAGATGACAAGATAACCTGAACTTCAGCCAGGCACCAAGAGCCTAAGTCATACCCACAGGGAAGGTGTTAGTTCAATGTATATCCTGGCAGGACAAATGGGATAGCATTTCCCTCAGGCCTTGGGGAAGGACCAGGGTCTGGACCCCATAGGACCGCCTATGTGGAGTTCTAGGATGCCACACCCCGCGCGCGCGCGCGCGGGGGTCAGGATGAAGATGGATCAAGGAGCTAAAGAAATGGGCAGACTGAACAAGGGAGAGCACATCGACCCCAGATGCTGTTGGGGAGGCCAGTACAAGACTGATCCAGACCCCTGAACATGGATGTCAATAAGGAGGCCTCTGCACTCCAGGGAGCCTCGGTGGTGGATTAGTATTTTTCCCTGGTGCAAGAAGGGACTTTGAGAGTCCATCCCACATGAAGGATTACACTCTGGCCCTGGGGATGGATGGGGGAGGGAAGGGAGAGGAAGAAGGGACTTACATGTGATTAAAATTATTAAATTAAAAAAAAAAGAAATGGGCAGAGACAGAACCCAGGCTTTCATGACCCAGACTGGTTCCCATGTTTACCCAGCATTCTGTCCTTTAATTAGGGAAGATGAAGATTTAGATGAGGGGGAGAGAAACCAGTGTCTGGGGCTGGAGAGATGACTCAATAGTTAAGAACACTTACTGCTCTTTTAGAGCACCCAAATTCAATTGCCAGCACCCATACTGGGTGGCTCACAATCACCATAATCCCATCTCTTTGGGCACCTGCACACCCATTGGCACACATACATACATGTAAAAAGAACTAAATCTTGTTTGTTTTTTTTTCTCCTAAAACAAGAAACCAGAGTCTAGCAAGAGCCACTCGTCTCTACGGGTCGTCTCCAGCACTTCAGTCTTGACATATTGTTAGCTTGGAATCTGCCACCCTGGACTCCAAGGCATCCCTGTGATGTCTGTTCCCACCATTGTAAGGGCATACCGCCTCCATACCCAAGCATTCTTCATATCCCAAAGCTGGTAAAAGTCTGGGCTACACGGGATTATTCAAATGAGTTTCTAGCCCTTCAGGCTGCAACATCCTTCTAACCAGGGACAGGAACCCACATCTGAAATGATGCCCTTCCTTCTTCCTGTCGAAGACCTAGAACTAAGCTGGATACAGCAGCGTGGGTCTGTAATTCCCACACAGCAGACAAAGGCAGAAGGATGACAAGTTTGAGACCAACCTAAGCTCCTTGGCTAGGGCCTCACTTCAGCAGAGCAAAGTGGGGAACTGAGGCCTGTTCTCATGGTACCCACACACTATGTCCTGACTGCTCAGATCTGCTGGGCTCAATCTGGCTTCTTTCCTAAGAGGGATCCAGGAGGGGCCTGTGCCTCTCGAACACCTTCCCTTGGAGCCGCAAAATAGCACAATAACCAATGTCTTTTTCAGAGGAAAATGGTAGTCATCTAGAAGCCTCCATCTTAGACCTAGCCTGGTTTCATTTGACTGAAGGAGCCAGGATGGTGTTCTGAGTATGCAGACACTAGAGCTTTGCTGGACTTAGAGACCCCCTGCAGACAAGGTCTGACAACCATTTCTGTGTTTTATTTTTTTTATTTTTTAAAGATTTTATTTATTTATTATGTATACGACATTCTGCTTCCATGTGTATCTGCACCAGAAGAGGGCACCAGATCTCATAATGGATGGTTGTGAGCCACCATGTGGTTGCTGGGAATTGAACTCAGGACCTCTGGAAGAGCAGTCAGTGCTCCAAACCTCTGAGCCATCTCTCCAGCACCATTTCTGTGTTTTAAGCACCTGTCGAGGCCCAGCATCCAGCAGAGGTGAATAAACTTGAGGTAGAAGACTTCCTTCTTCTCCTGTGCTTCAGATGGCATCTGACAATAAGAGACTCCCCCAGAGCCTCCATTTCCTTCCTCGTTTATCAGGGATAAGAATCCAGATGACTTCAGCAAGTCCTCTCAACTCTAACTTGTGGGGCGTCTGAGACTCTGTGTGTGGGTTTTTTTGTTTTGTTTTGTTTTTTCAAAATGGTGGAAACAGAAACCGAAGGCCACAGGAAGCACTGGAGAATTCAGAGAGAGAAAAAAAAATTTCTTTTACCGGGAACTGAATAGCTCTGGAGTCAGCAAGGGACATCCACAGAACAGCTGGGGAAGGTTGAGGAAGCTGAGCAAGGAACAGAGCCTGGGGGAGGCATGGGAAAGGAAGGAGGACACAAAGGCGGAGCCTGCTGGGAGATTTCTGGGTGGTATCATGGCTGGGGAGGGGAAACTGGTATCTGGTGCCCTGTGGGTCTCTTATCTTCCTAAGTTTCCTCTTCCTTTGCTGGAGTTGCACCTTCCCATTTCCTGCTCAGGAAGGCAGAGACAGTAAGTAAACAGCTGTGCTTAACCTTGTGGTAAGGGTTGTGATGGTGACTCCCTTTCTCAGGCCCCTTTGCAGACCACCTCAAACCCACAGGTGCCTTGAGGAGACTTCCCAGGGCTGCAGCACCTCCAGGAGTAGATGTCCTCCTCTGTCTTTTCATCCTAGCTGGTGTCCATGGACAGTCATGTTTAATATCTGGACATCTTGGCCCCTTTTGAGAATCTAAGGAAGTCCTGATTAAAATAAATAAATAAATAAATAAATAAATAAATAAATAAATAAATACATAGCAGACGAAA